CTCGACTTCCGCTTCGGCATTGGCAGCATCCTCTACTCAACAACGGCACTGCCGTGCGACATCCCTACACGTCGAGTACAGCCAAGGTCACACAAGGAAAACTCTTCACTGAGACTCTCCCTGCTGAACAACGGCATATGCAACGTGCTGCAAGCATCTTGTGGAGTTGCAATGCAGCCCTAAACCAACGTGGCATCGCATCGAAGGCCTCGAACGGGTAAGATCGGTGGAGAAGGACACAAATGCAGGGTCCATCGGTGGCTGTGCAGCCCTATCGCATGCACGGACAATGTAACTGTTCCGGCGGCCGCGAGGCGATCTGGACCGTTCATTCGCGCGTCAAAGTCACTAGCCACATTTCTAAGCCGGTGCCCTGCGACCCGAGGCTTCTGTGACCTTCGATCCTATACTGCAAATACTCTTTGATATTCTGCATTCTTCTGCCATGGAGAATACTTATCCTTCCAGTCGCATTCGTATTGCGTCCATCTCCGTCGGACCGAACGAATGCTATTTGATCGCTTACGAGGGTCCATGACATCATCCCTCCGAAGTCTCCTCACCATCCCTTCCCTCACCATCCATCCAAACGACTGCCGCGCAGAACTCCTGCTTTGCGATTCTATTTTTGCGAAGCAATATGTCCCCAATGAATATCCTTTCCCTGACGTCTTAGTCGGCAACCTGCTGGTCATTGAAACTGCCCATCACTTCTGGAAGGCCGCCCGATGTGGTCATCGATCGCCAACGGCTGAGCGGGCACCATCCCTAGCCCCTGTGCCCGCCAATCCGCGAGCGCGGGATGATGAGACCCTGCGTCTGCTTGTTTTCGACAAAGTTTCTTCCGGTCCACCTGCTATGACAGGAAGTTTGACTGCCGATCATGACGCCTGAGGCCTGATAGTCGCGTGTTTGTGACTTCTCCACTCACAACGCAGCTGTGACATATTGGATGCACCGGTCACTACACATCTTCAAGTATGTATGGATAGCATAGTAATGCTCGCTCAGGGATTTCTATTCCTATCCTCTTATCTCTTCTCCATCTGCCGGGACAAGAATTTTACAAGTTCTGCTCGCATATGCAGGGCAAGCGCCTTCCGACGTTCTCCCACCCAACGGTTCTTTTGGGGTTCGTGAGGCTTGGAAATGTAACAGGGCGTCGACCGTTTCCGGTTTTGTGCCTCATGGCATTTCGGGACCTGGTTTGCAACGTCATCCGTCATGCGCTCAGTCACAACCGCTCTCCTGACTGATGCATCACCAAGATAATTGCTTCTTTGTCACTGGAGATGCGACCTGATCTAGCGGGTGCTGCGACACCAATACCGCGATGCGGAGTTCATCCGGCCGTTCGGTCGGTCGAGTTCGGAGATCTGCCGACTCAAATCTCACCACACCCTCTGCGCTGACTGCATTCTCCGCAATCTGTTGGCCCTCAACACTGCAAAAGCATTCCTGCTTCCCCTTTCGTTAACCGGTGGCATCACCTCGGCCGCACCATAAAGCGACTTTACGCCGAGATACACTTTAAGCGCGAACACGCGCGGAGTTGCGTTATCTCCGGATTTCACGCGATCCGTTGCAAACCATTCATGCGTTACTCAGCGCTGACAGAGCATGAATCTATGTCGCAGTCGGTGGATTATCCGTCGCTGCTCCGAAGTAAACCCATACGTGCTGTATACGAGAATCCTATACACCATCGGCGCAAAATAGCCGGGTGTAGGCAGCTAGTCCACGTTACGAGCCTCTTGCGAGGCTGATGATGGTAAGCAAGCTAGCTTACGATGGATCAGGCATCGGTACGCTCAACGCGGGTCTCAATACGGGTGTTCGTGCGCTAAGCCCTCTGTCGGTGGGTTGCGCTTTCTCAGATCTTGTTCTCTCGCTAATCTGCGATCAGTAGTGTGTCTCCACATGGCGACACTGTCAGCGCTGCTCGTTTGGGGCCGCGTAGGCTTTGGCCACCTGCATGTCAGCCTCGCAAGCCTTGATCCTTGATGTAGGTGTAAGCTTTTGGGCTGTATGTAAGGTTGCCTAGGTATGCTGGATGTCTATCGGCGAAAATGTACCGTGGAACTGGATTCCACGTGTACATGGGCATTAGCGTTAATGTTGTTGATGCCTTAGCAGCGATCTTGGCCTTCGCAAGCATGTGGAGAGTTTTGAGATATAGAGAGCTTTTGTTTTCATGTGATGTTCAGAGTTGGATGGTCTATGGTGCACATCATTCATCTAGTGCGGCTGCTTCAATGACTCCGCACTCTATACTCCTTCTCCCCTGATCAAACTTATTGCCATTTCTATAATTACGATCCGGATCTACCAAGGCCACACGAACATCTCGATTTGCGAGTGGGAAGCAGACGTATCTCTTGCAAGGCTACAAATTCTTCGGTCGATATCAGCACTGATTGTAAACGACTAGCTTCACGCCAAAGATTTACTCAAGTAGATACTCAGATATTCCAAAGACATAGAGAGCAGGGTCTTTACCAATAGCCTTACCTAAGAGCTCAACATGGTACGGATTCTCTTCATTCCTGGCGACATCATTTCCTGGTGCTTCACGCAGTCCGTTACCAGCCTAGGTAGGTATTCCAAAACCCAAATGCTACGTGGTCAGTCGCCGCTTTGCTAGCTACACCTATGAGCTTGATGTATTCCAAATCTCATACGATTAAGCAGCTGACTCAAGGTATATCTCCAGTTTGTTAATCGCATGCTTTTTGTTCGAGACAGCTCTTTATCGGTGCAACCCGTGCCACGGGAATCTTTGTTGATATTCTCGCCATATTCACCACAGAGGAGATGCGCCCGTCGTATGAGATGAGAGCCGAGTAGTTTGATCCCGAAAGCTTTGCAAGCAGTGTCATTTCGTGTTTGGCTTTTCGGGGCTTAAACTGCTGGCATATTGGACACGAGGTGAGTCCGGGCTTCCGCCTCAGCGAATGCGCAGGATGGCGCTCAAACGGGCAGTGGCCTCAGTATTCCTCGCAGTACTCTGATATCCGTGAGTACATTATATTCTTGGTTGCGCAATCGTCAAGAGTGCTGGGGCGGATGCTCCTGCTTATGCTGTTGTCCATCAGCTCAGCAAGGGCACGCTAGCAGGAGCGCCTTGCCATATTTGGCATAGACCAAACATTGAGCATCGAGCCTTGGGCACCTCCTTCCCCTCCAATCCTGCCACAGCCGCACCGTTGCGGATCGCGCTCACCTGCACCCACTACGCTCGCAGACGGGGTGGCGGTCTTGTTTATCTCACACCGACGCTCTCCAAATGCACCACGAGTAGCGCATCTTCGTTCTGGCACCCTCGCTCGCCGCGGATCCGACAACGCCTCCAGCTCAATTACTCAAAAGCAGAGTAAAATGGCCATCGCTCCTGGGTATCCCGGCTTGGAAGTCACGATCAACGTTGATGGTCAGCCTTTGCCTGAGTACGAGGACGAGGACGAGGACGAGGACCCGGCACCGAAAACAACTACAAAGTATATTGAAGCGCGCTCAGACAGTCATTTCTCGATCGTGACTGAGTTCAAGCCACCATTCCCAACCCAGTATCATGTTAGGTCGTCACTATGTATTGACGGAACCGGCATGGACAAAGCGCTCTGCTTGCGAGAGGACCTCTTCAAGAAACCTTTCGAGAATACGGGTATTCGCCGGCGAGAAGGTGAACAATGGGTCAAGCAAAAGTTCTCTTTTGCTAAGCTGAACATTGGTAAGTACCCTGGATACCGTCTGATTTCGTATGCTGATAGGGTTTTGCAGTCGAAGAGGCCCGTGAATCCATCCCTAATGTCGCTGCTCTGAAGCAAAGTCTCAGCACCACTGGGTGCATCACTTTATCCTTTCAACTCATCAAGAGTTTCAAAGAAAAAGTGATGGAACATGTACCGTCCGGTTCGCACACTCGACTTGCAGCCATGAGGGAAATACCTGAGAAGGCGCTCAAAGGCGACGCATTATCGCACCAAATACTGTACGTCAGAACGGACAAACCTGCCACTCATCGAAGAACTAACCCTTTGGAAGCTTTTCAGAGCCTCAAAAATGCCGTCCGAGACGTTCTGAACGTACCCACAGGCTGTATAAATTCCTAGACGAGGAGCCATTCGCAACCTTCCACTTCAAATATCGGTCACTTGGTGAGTCATGTTTACGCTCACACTGTAATATTGGCTGATAACAGGGTCTCTGCAGAGAGCCTCAGGGCACTTCGGCTTGTTACAGTCAACGATCCTCCCTCCGTTCCTCTGGAAGAGAGGCCCGAAGAAGAGCTTACACCTGCTGAGCTGAGAGAGCTGCTGCGGCGCGTACGAAGAGTATGTATGCGGTGAATCGCTGGTGTTGATACTGACGTATATGTAGCGAGACCCAGAAAGTGCTTCCATCAAGCAAGAAGCCGAAGCCACTACTAGAGTTAAGCGCGAGAGGACCACCAAAGACGACGATGAAGTGACCTATGTCGAGACGCCACAACGCAAACGTCCGCACGTGGAGCAAGAGATCATTGTGATAGACTGAGAGAGGACATCTATTCTGTCTTGACGTCGCTGAGCCTAAGGAGGTGTCGAAACGTTGAAAAACCGTCTACTTCGAAGTGGAAGCGAACTCCAAACCCTGGGCCAACTCCAGGTTTACGCATGGAAGTATGCTATCAAGTATGGATGCATGGAATCGCCTCTAGGAGCGTGTATGAATGATTAGGCTAATCGTCATGGGAGAACATATCTTCCTCCATATCTAGGAATGTTTAGAGATAGCCACTCGGGAACTTTAGTCCCCGCTCATGTACCTACAGCATGTCAGCACTTGTTAATATGACATTTGCCTTTACCTCCTTCGCTCCTTTCACGCCTTGTCTGCGTCTCTCACCTCGACTCAGCAGTAGTTAGTATTTAAGAACCCGAGCATCCTGCTTTCGAGATCTTCCTTTCTTTTTCCTTCCCACCAGTAACACGACTTACTTCCAGATATCTTGTTGCACCATGGCTGTTCATCCATTCTTGCCTGGCCTTGCCGTCGAAATCATCGTCAACGACGATCCACTTCCCGGGTACGACGACGATAGCGATGATCCCGCGTCGCCGACGACGGTCACAAAATACGTCGAGGCGACATCTGGAGTAAATTTTGCGATCAAAGTCTCTATCACCAAAGGATATCCCTTCCCAGTCGGTGACATCAAAGCAGAGATCAGCCTCGATGGGCTAGTTGTGGCACACAAGGTAATCCTCGAAGCAGAGTTCTTTGGGGAGTATCTGTTTATGGGACGTCGTACCCAGATCGGTAGGCACCCAAAGATACAGAAGTTCTGCTTTGCCGAATTAGAAATTGGTAAGTTGACTATGGAGAACCCAATCATATAATCTTCTTTAGAATGTTCAAGTTGAGCTGATAATTCTGAAGTTGAAGGTAGCATGTCCCTCCCTGATCTGGCCTCGATTGGCACCATCACTGTGGGCTTTACGTACGTACGAAATCTGCGGTTGACCTCACCGAAACACGTGCTTCAGAGTATCTCAGCATCGGAACAGGTTTCTGAGAAGGCACTGAAGGGACATACCCAAACTCATCGAGCTGGGTACGTTATTCCGCACTTTGTGAAGGTAACGCTGATATGTATAGTTTGTCAGAGCCTGTTGCGCATCCATGTACAAGGGTCTGGGATTGTGACTCTGTAACTAAGTCTCCGTTCGCTACCTTTAAGTTCAAGTATCGCTCCCTAAGTAGGTCAAAGTAGCTTCGCGACGTCATTTCACTAGCTGATTCGTGTAGATGCTTTACGGATCCTAGGTCTCATTCCACGTGAACCAACCCCACTACCTCTGGAAGAGCGGCCTGAAGAGGAGCTCACTCCGGATGAGCTACGCCAACTCGTCAAGCAATTCAAGGTATGTTGATGGCACAGGTTCATGATACCACATACTCATTTTTGTAGGATCGCGACACAGCTGCAGCCAAGGTGAAGAAAGAAGCCGTCGACAAGCGCAAGCGGGTCGATGAGGCTATCGAATCCAGCAATAGCGAGGAGGTCATCGTTGTAAGGTCTAGAGATGGGAATCGTCGCCGTGGTGCGAATGACGAGGTTATTGTACTGGACTAGGAGTGTCTTTTCGTCGTGCAAAAGTTCGTGCTTCATGGCTTTCCTCGGTGGGAGATGATGGGATAGGGATATAGTGAGACCTCTTGAAGGATGCATATGCTTATACTCCCACTCTATATACTGGTTGAGTGCTATATTTCTCGAAAGCGACCTACTGCTGTAGACAGTAAGGCCATCATATTCAGTTTCCATCATCACTCGTCCCCGAGTTCTACGTAATATAACTGTAGTCAAAATTTGTGCGTGACATCTCTCACCTTCTCGGTTACATGCACTCACATCAAACCCAACCGGGATGTCATACTGCCTTTACCTGACTGTCGCTACACGCTAGCGTACAGTTGGCTTCATATATATTCAGCGCCCTTCTCTCCCACCTCTTTCCTTCTACCATCATCACCGTCTCTCAAATCGGATTACAACATCAACATGGCGATCCATGCCGACTACCCTGGCCTGACGGTTGAGATCTACGTCGACGGCAAACCACTTGAGGAATACAAGAACCCGGAAGAGGAAGATGTGCCTAAGACAACCATGCGATATGTTGAGTGCCGGTCAGGAGCGGAGTTTGCGATAAAGACGAAATTCAGGGCACCTTTTGGGCCGATGGATACGTCGATAATCGCTTGTCTAGACGGAACAAGGGTGCACTCCCAAGCTGCGCAGCCGCATGAGATGCTCACGAGGGTCTACAATCAATTTCAGCACGAATGGAAGGAAAATGGCGGATGGCGAGCATCTAACTTTCTCTTCTCTAGCCTCGATTTCGGTATACAAGTTCTTATCACAAGCTGCATTGGAGCTTTCACATGCGGAGATGCAGAAACTGACACGTCAAAGTGGAAAATAGCAAAGGAACCGCCTGCGAAGAGAATCTCAGCTCGGTGGGAATCATATCCGTCACATTTACAAAGGTTCTGAGCAAGAGACCATCGCCACGTCCAATCAGTAGGAAGGTGATCTTGGGGATGATTGGGCCAATATTCGAAGAGGATTTCAAAGGCGACTCACGCTCTCATTCAATAAAGTAACTACGCAATCTAGTATCGCTGATTCATGCTAATACTAAAGTAGGCTTGCTGCAGATCGAACCATAAAAACTCCTTCACGGATTACAACTGTGAAGGAAAAAGAGCCTTTCGCTACGTTCCAGTTCAAGTACCGCTCGATTGGTGAGTAGTCAACCGTTGGAACTAAGTACAGAACTTACATAGCAACAGCCGCACTCAAATCTCTCGGCATCATTCCACCCTCACCGATCCCCTCGTTAGACCCGCAGCCGGATCGAATGCTGAACGAGGAACCACCTGCTACTACTCCACAACCAAAAACCGCCAGCAGCACACCCACTCCGTCCCAACAGGATTCCAGCCAACCCATTCTTACCGAACACGACGGACTCAGAGATTCCGAAATCATTGCTCTCATCAAGCACTACCGGGGCGACACCAAGGGACTGGCGGGTCAAAGCCGGAAGCGTCTACTGCTACTGCTCAAGCATTACGAGGTAAGGACTTCAAATTCGGGATCTGTAAGCCATTAACCATTATGCAGGAAGAAGACGCGGAAAGCGTACAGATCAAGCAAGAGCCCATCTCGAATGCATCGCAGACGCGGATCAAGCGCGAGTACGCTGATGATGGCGCTGCACGCGGACAGGGAAAGAAGCGCAAGCCTGAAGTCATAGTCCTGGATGATTAAGCAGCATGAACGGCGACTAGATGAGAGGGTTGAGAGTATGGTTTTCGGTGGTTTGTTCAGTGATATTGATCTGCTTTGCGATCTGGGTTTTGGAAAGAGACGTGGTATTTAAAAAGGACTTGGAAGGGAACGGGCTCAATGTCTCCTTCAGAGGCCCCTGCGATGAAAAGCTTCCAGAAAATGGACTGTGAATGACTGTCAGAGAAATGAATGCGTTCTGATTAGCGTCGAACTATTGCACACATCCTCTCGACCACTTCCTACCAACGTGCAGCCGTTGCGGTAGGTGTAGCATACGTGTCACTCCAACTCGCAGTGTACTTTGAACTCCCCACAATCGTCTGACTCTTCACATCCGCAAACGTCGCGCTCGTCACAATACTATCGGTACCAATCCATGTGCTCCAAGCAGTAGCTGTTGTAACACCATCGACAGGCCCGACTGGAACAGCGGTAGTCTCAGCCCAGGCACCAGACCACACGGTAGGTCCAGGGATGATGTAGTCGGTGACGCAGGGAGTGGTAGAGGTCTTCGGCTTCCTTGTCTCGGTGGAGCAGTATACCTGCATCGTGTCAGCGAACAAGCTACGAGCCAGTACTTAGGTAGAGGAAACTTACGTTGTGCACAACACCAGGATCATCGTAGAAGTACGCTCCAGGGAAGCTCACGCCCTCAGGTAACTCGACCTCGCCATCGCCTTCAACCTCGATCTGAACACAGTCGGGGTAAAACTGTGCGCCTCTCTTCGGGTTTGCGAGATAGCTCACATCGCCCTCATGCAGACCAACCATTTCCGCACGGATGATGTAGTGTCCTGCCTTCAGTCCATCCGGCACCCTAACATTCATATGACCAAAGTTCATCGCAATATCACCGGTAGTACTCCACTTGCCAGCCTGTGGGAACGGATTACTTTCAAACTTGCCCTCATGCCAGATCTTCACAAAAGAGTTCTCCGTCGGCGGATCAGGCGAGATGTAGATGAGCGAAGGACCGTGGTGAGAATTGGCGATGACTTCGTCTTTGTTGTTGCGGTTCTCGTGGTGCCAGTCGAAGGTTAGGTTGTCGCCGGGTTGTACTTTGATGGTGTCGTGGGCTTGGATGTCGCCCATGACGTTGCAGCGCATGTCGATGGAGTCGAGGTCCTTGACGGGCGAGTTGTTGTAGCCGCCTTTGCCATTTTGGCCGTTGTACGCGGGGATGCGGACGCCTTTGAAGGTTCCTTGGTCTATGCCGTTGACGAAGACGCCCTGGATCGATTAGTATGAGATCTGGGTGAGCTAAAATTGTAATGGTCGTACCCAAATGAAAGTATGGGCGCAGGCCTGACCTGCAAGAAGCGAGAAGAAAAGAGCAGAAGTGCGAGCCATGATCACGGACTGTAGGACAGACTAGACTTGAGGAATACAGAGAGCATCAAGCAAGAGTTGCTACACATATCGCAGATACATATATATCCAGTTTTGAACAATCATACCTATGTTTCGATGCGTCGTACAGTACATTGGCAGGTGATGAGGCTAGTGTATTGGGATGCATTTACCCGATCGGACTCAGATTGTTAATATATCATGAGTTCGCTGCCGTCCAAACAGAGCTGCAGATCTGGAGGCTCCAGCGGGAACATCGGACGTGTCTCCGACAATGTGTAATTGGATCCGTAGACTGTGTTGGATGATCGTGATCGACGGGTGTGTGGTAGTATATACTACATGAAGTCCAAATGTTCCATATCCATGGGGCGCTTCTGGCAGGATCATGACGGCCACGCTTGCCTCGTAACGAACCACTTGACCAGGGACGTAGTGATTGGGGCTTTTGCACCCGCGTAAGGACATGAATTCGCTGCATAAACGCGTGGTCGAGGAAGCCCTTAGATGTCATCATATCGTCTGGCTGCTGACAAGCGTAGGCCCTCTTGAGAGAAGGATGGATCTGAACATCAGAAGTGACGTGTATGATTGCCTGAAGGCTACAGTGATCGAGTCGACATTACTTTCAGCAAGACTCTGGATCATGGTCAACAATAGGTACGGTACAAAGAACACGTCGCGTGACAACGCGGATTGAAATAAGCCTGCCTTCAAGGCTTCTTCAAGATCAGACGGAAGGTCCACGAGATTCTAATGAGGAATACTGCACGATGATGGAATGTGACCTCTGCTGATTCCCAACCTATCAGTATACTCAGAATGAGTTTTCCAGATCGGGCGCCCAGCCATGGGTCTAAATCTCTTCTTCGCGCAGCGCGAAAACAGGCTCATTCATCAGAGAAATGGGAGCCTGCCGTTACGTAGTGTATTTGTTGCTGGCGGTGATGAAGAGAAAAAGAGCGACGGCGAGGAAAATCGCGGTTTTGAGGCTGGGGCGGAGCGGAGCTTCGGTGGTGCTAGGCCGGATTGGGAGCGCTAGGGCAAGAACATCTGGCCGCATCGCCAACTGAGGTATCCACGCAAGTTCAAGTGCGTGAGCTTCCTACGACGTTGCATTATCCTGTGCAGTTGTTGCCTTGAGGGAGGAACACTTGACACGTCTCGGCACATTCTGCTGCATACAACTACAGCTGCCCGTCTCGCGACTGCTACACTTCACACCGCCCCGCCAAATCTCCCATCGTGGGCGCCCTCGGTCCCTCCACCACCAACCTTCGACAACCCTCACCCACCCCAGACCTCCTCGCGCAGCCCAGATAGCTGCAAACGCCCAGCATGGCCGACTTCGAGGCGCTCAAGGACCAGTGGAGCGACATTGAAGACAGGGATGGCGTCCGTCTCAGCTGGAACACGTTTCCCAGCACGCGCATGGTACGATAGGCAATATCGGCGCGAGGGACGCAACGTACTGATGCGGTCTACAGGAAGCTTCCCGCCTAGTCGTTCCCATTGGTGCACACTACACGCCTCTCAAGGAGAAGACGGACACTCCGCTGCTCCAGTATGAGCCTGTCAGCTGCAGGGCGCCATGCAAAGCTATCCTCAACCCCTACTGGTATGCCTGGCATAGTCTCTTGCAACTTATCTCATACTGACATTGAGGCAGTCAAATTGACATGCGCGCCAACCAATGGATATGCCCCTTCTGCTTGAATCGCAATCACCTGCCCCCGCACTACAAGGACATCTCCAACCAGCAGATGCCCCCCGAGATGCACCCGAACAGTACCACGATCGAATACCGCCTTCCCCGACCCATACCGAGCCCGCCCATTTTCATTTTCGTGGTAGACACATGTCAAGAGGAAGACAGCTTGAAGGCGCTGAAGGACTCGATCATCATGGCTTTGAGCCTGCTCCCAGCATACGCGCTGGTTGGTCTGGTCACATACGGTACAATGGTAGGTACAAGAAGCTACAATGAGTGTTATAAGCTGACATTCATAGACACAAGTACACGAGCTGGGCTACACCGAATGCGCCAAGTCGTACGTCTTCCGCGGAAGCAAGGACTACTCCACCAAGCAAGTGCACGAGATGCTAGGCCTTAGCCAGATGGCTCCTCGACCTGGTGTCCCACAGCAGCCTGGACGACCACCTATGGGCGCTCCAGGCGGTGTTGGCACGCGCTTCATCCTACCCGTATCGCAGTGCGAATTGCAGTTGACCAACGCTCTCGAATCAATCCAACGGGACCCCTGGCCGGTCGCGAACGACAAGCGTCCCTTGAGGTGCACCGGTGTGGCGCTCAGCGTCGCTGCTGGACTCCTGGAGACGAGCTTCATGAACAGTGCCGCCCGCATCATGTTGTTTAGCGGTGGTCCAGCCACCGAGGGACCTGGCATGGTTGTTGGCCCGGAGCTGCGCGAGCCTATCCGATCGCACCACGACATCGACCGCGACAACATCAAGTACTACAAGAAGGCACTGAAGTTTTATGAGGGCCTTGCGAAGCGCATTTCCCACAACGGCCATATTGTTGACATCTTTGCCGGATGTCTGGATCAGGTCGGCCTTCTTGAGATGAGGGGTCTTGCGAATAACACTGGTGGACACATGATTCTGACGGATAGCTTCACCTCATCCATGTACAAGCAATCCTTCGTGCGCGTTTTCAACAAGGATGCGGACGACAACCTCCTTATGGGATTCAATGCCGAGTTTGAGGTGCTGACAACCAGAGAGTTGAAGATCACTGGTCTTATTGGACACGCTGTGTCGCAGAACAAGAAGTCAGTCTCAGTTGGTGAGACGGAATGCGGTATCGGAAACACATGCGCCTGGAAGATGTGTGGCATCGACCCTGAAGCCTCATACTCGATCTATTTCGAGATTGCCAACCAAGGCGGGTCCAACGTGACCTCTACGCAGCAACAGGCTCTCATTCAGTTCCTCACATACTATCAGCACTCCGCTGGCCAGTATCACTTGAGAGGTATGCGTTCTTTGAAATGTGTTTAAGCTAAGCACGCATACTAAACATTCACAGTTACCACCGTGGCCCGACCCATGAGCGGTCCATCTGGCGACCCTGCTATCGCCCAGTCCTTCGATCAAGAAGCTGCTGCTGTCCTCATGTCGAGGATAGCAGTCTTCAAGGCTGAGGTCGACGATGGCCCTGACGTCCTCCGATGGGTCGATCGCATGCTTATCCGACTATGCGCTCGCTTCGCCGAGTACAGAAAAGATGACCCGTCGTCATTCAGGTAAGTCTTTCATCACTTTGGAACATATAGTTCTCGCTTCAATATCAAATACTAACTACTCGATCAGGCTTGAGAAGAACTTCACACTATACCCGCAGTTCATGTTCCATCTTCGTCGGTCACAGTTCCTGCAGGTCTTCAACAACTCGCCCGACGAAACCGCCTTCTATCGTCATGTCTTGAACCACGAGGATGTTAGCAACTCCCTCATCATGATTCAGCCGACACTTGACAGCTACGGCTTCGACCACGAAGGCGGTCAGCCTGTTCTGCTCGACTCTAGCTCCATCCAAAACGAGACGGTGCTATTGCTCGACACATTCTTCCACATTCTCATCTTCCACGGCGAAACAATGGCTGAGTGGCGGAAGGCTGGATACCAAGAGCAAGAAGGTTATGAGAACTTCAGGGAGCTTCTGGAGGCACCGAAGGAGGATGCCAAGGAGCTCATCCAGGATCGTTTCCCGTTGCCTCGATTCATTGTCTGTGATGCCGGCGGGTCACAAGCTCGTTTCCTGCTCAGCAAGCTCAACCCTTCGACCACACATCAAACTAACAGCTATGGCGGTGCTGCGACAGCTCAGACCATCTTCACCGACGACGTCAGTCTGCAGACCTTCATGGACCATCTCATGAAGCTCGCAGTATCGGGCACAGGCTAGATTCGCTGTACTTTGTAAGCTTAGTTGTCATCGATAATGCAGCGACGAGGCAAAATAAGGGTTGTATGTGTGGTCTTTGTGTTACATCATTAGCGAAATGAAATCCTTGAATGTCTACATATCTTTGGGTGCGACCTATGGTGATCTCATCAGGTTCGATCTTATTGTGGATGAACTCTCCACATTCGTAGCAGTCTCTGCTTCAACATCCTTGTGTTGCCGTTATGTTCTCTTCCATGATCTAGCGACCTCTCCCTCGTTCATCGAATCTGCCATCTACTCGGCTACATCTTACTAACATCCCAATCTTTAGCCTCACTCCCCTGGACATGTTCCTCCGCCAACACCTCCCCGGTACCCGGAACCTGGAACGGCTCTGCAGGCAACGTGATAGCAATGAACCTCGCGGGCTCGGTCTCGGATGCGTTATGCCACTTGTGCATCGTGCCTCGCTGGATGATATGATCCTATTCCCATTCCATCAGTAACGTTGCAACAAAATCACGCATCCTTTTTAACAGCCCCAAAAACAAACCGAAACGGGGAAAGAAAGGAAGAAAGGGGACAGAAAGAAGGAGTACGTACACCAGGTTTCAAATCTACCATTTCTCCAGTAGCAGTCTCCATACGGACATCGCCGTGGGTGCAGATTACGTAGTCGATGGATACAGTGCGGTGCATCATACTGGCCTGACCAGGAGCGAGGTCGCAGACAATGAGGTGGGAGCCAGATCCATTGGCTACGATGCTGCGGCCTGTGTAGCTTGACTCTCCTTCTTGCGATGTGTAGGCAGAGATATCTTGGTCATTTTGGAGGGAAGCTGGGATGGAGGACGTGGCGTCTAGTCGGCGAATTGTGTTAGTATGTCTGCTTGATGATATGTCGACGGTGTGCAGTATTATCACCATTTTCCTACAGTCTAGCAATGGGATGCCGCGCACCGTTAGAAGAACAAGACTTACAAGATCGAGATGTTCCACCAATACCAGGGTACCCGTAGTATTGCAACGCTGGGCTCGAGTGGACAGTGCTTTTGCCCTCTTCGTTGTGGGTGATGATGTGTCGTTTTGCTGGGGGTAGCGAAGTAACTGAGTCGTACATCTGAGATGCCGCGAGACGTGCGTCGTTCTCTGCCATTGTGAAGTGATGGATTTGATGAGGAATGCGAAGATGGATACGATGAGGTACAGACGAAGAGACACTTCTTAAAGCATGTCAGCAATGTAGAGGTGATAGATATCTTGGCGTAGGATGCATTGTCATCTTATACGACAACTACCTCCCGTGTCTACTAGAGTTAGAAACCACTCTACGGAAACTTTCCACATTTGGACAGGTAGCCCGTGTAAGCGCAAGTATCCCTTCTGCATGAGGTTTAAGTGTGGAGCAGACGCAGGGGTGGAAGTGCCCACTTGAAAAGTACCACGTCAAATCAGGTGGATGGCCTGTGAAAAATACACATAACGTGTGATAGGGAACGAAAGCGAATGGCAGAATGCTGCATTGGTATGGATACGCTAAAACCACGTTTTGTCTACGTAACGCCGGCTCATCGATGAAGAATGGTGCAGGTGGTCGAATGCAGAAAATCGTAAACTGCCGCGGCCATTAAACATGTACAACGAAGCTGACAGCTGTCAGAGCTGATATCAGCGCGTCTAGGCCTTCGCCTTCTTGGCCTTCTTAGGCTTGGCAGCGGCCTTCTTCTCCTCGACCTCCTCGACGATGGGCTCGACAACGACCTTCTCCTTCTTGGTGCGCTTGCTCCTGGGCGTTACTTCCGGGACGGTCTCCTCGGTGACGGTAGTAGTCTCGACTGTGACATCTGACTTGCGCTTCCTAGTCTTCTTCTCTGGGGCAGGCGCGGCAACCTCCTCCACCACCACCTCAGCTGCCTCAACAGGCTTGGTCTTTGCACCCTTCTTGCCCTTCTTTGCTGGCGCAGGTGAGACAGCCTCGACTACCTCTGTGACCTCAGCAACCTCTGTAGGTGGTGCTGCTGCTTGAGCCTTGGCGCCCTTCTTACCCTTCTTGGCCTTGGGGAGCTCAGCAACTGTGGTCTCCTCAGTAGCCGCCTGAGTAAGAAGCTCTTGGGGCTTCGCGGCTTCGAGCGTAGTGATGCTGGTGTGCTTAGGGACACTGTCGACAGTCTTGAGCGCCGGTGCTTCGAACTCGTAATCAAAGACCTCCTTGAGCTGCTTAGCCTTGCTTGTCCTTCTCTTGTTCTCGTTCTCCACGCGCTTCTCCCACTGCGCACGCTCAACACCGCGCTCCATCTCGAGACCGGCCTTCTTGTTGCGAGGGTCGACCTTGAACCGCTCATTGGCACCCTTGAAGAGGTCGGGGTGTACCTGTTCGGCAGGAATAAGGTGGACCTTAAGAATGTGACCGAACAGTAGGTAGTTATTCATAGTTCGTGCAACGATGTCAGCGACTTCTTCAGATTGGAACTCGACGAAAGCGAAGTGCTTGGAAGCACCAGTCTTCTTGTTGCGTGACAGGCGTAACCGGTTGACCTTGCCGAATTGCGAGAAGTACTGCTTCATCTGGGGCTCGAAGAAACCGCGGGGCACACGACTGGACGCATTGTTAGTAAAGTGTGGTCTAGAATGGACAGGTTTGCATACCCAACGTAGAGGACACCAGGCTGGTTGGACTTGGGTGCCGCCTCCGCCTGCTTGATAGCTTTCCGTTGCTTGGCGCTGAGCTTGGGAACCTTTGCTTCTTCGTCAAAGTTGACGTCCTCATCGGCGTCGTCTGAGTCTGAGTCGCTGAAGCCAGCGAGGAGAGCTGCCGTCTGGTCGTCTTCGCCAGCATCGTCTGCGTCATCTTCCACCGCTGTGACCTCGGTAATCTCGACCTCGGGTTCAGTCGCCTTCTGCTTCTTTCCTCCCTTTGCCTTCGCTGGCTTTGCGACTGTAGTAGTCTCCTCCACTACGGCGACAGCGTCCTCAACTGGCTCGGCCTCAGCAGCTTTGCCCTTCTTGGACTTCTTAGCCTTCTCCTTAGGGGCCTCTGCTACGACGGTCTCCTCTGCGACTACCGTCTTGCCCTTCTTGCCACCCTTCTTGGGCTTTTCTTGCACTTCAGTCACCTCTACGACGGAAGCGACAGGCTCAGCGACCTCTGTGTTGGTCTTGGCGGCGGCCTTGCCCTTCTTTGCTTGCTTCTTAGGCTTCTCCTGTATTTCAGCGACCTCGACTACCTCCGCGACGGGCTCGGCCATCTCGGTATCGACGTCGGCAGCGGCCTTGCTCTTCTTGCCCTTCTTTGGCTTGACAGGTTCGGCAACGGCGACGGGCGCAGCTTCCTCTTCAATGTCCATGAAGTCGGCGGCTTGCTTGCGCGCAGATTTCCGCGTTGGCTTGGCTTCGACGGGCGCGACATCGTCCGACTTTCTCGGCTTCTTCGCTTTGGGCGCCGCCTCTGATGCGCCTGAGACAAGTTAGCGAACGTGTTCAGGAATTATCAACGTCGCAATTACTAACCCTTGCGCTTCTTTCCTTTGGTGTCTTCGGCAGCCATTGTGATTTCGTGTAATGGCGTGGGGTCTGTGTGGTCGCGAATGTTGTTACGCGCAAAAGTTCGGAGGAGAGCTCAGACGCGGGAACTTTTTTCGTGGCAGTCGCGCTAATGGACACTTGCCAAGATAGTCCCCAGCCCTCACCATTAACCTTCAACTCCATATACTCACCTCACACCAAGCGAAATACTTCGAACCGAGAATAAGTGAACGCCCTTACAGCATTTTACTGGGCTATCAACTCAACTTGCTCTGTACACCACTGTTTACCCAAACTTCAACATGGCACCCATTGTAGACATGAGCGACAAGAACGCGTGGGATGATTCTCTGCTGATCGATTCCTGGGATGAGGCGGTGAATGAGTACAAGGTACGTTTCTACACGCGTCGTTCTCGTAGTTTCCGCGAGGATATCGACTAAACAGAACAGAAATACCACAGTATCCACCAATCGGGCAAGAAACTTGAAGACGTCCTGACGGAGGAAGAGCTAAAAGAAGCACGGGGGTAAGCAGCTCTCCAAGCCTTTACATCACGATACTAACGTTTCTAGGGAATATGGGGACCTGATGGATGAAGCGGAGGCCGTATCGGCAACAGCAGAGACCAGCGGTGTCGCGGATCATGAAGATGTAGATACGCCGCTGTCAGAAACCAATGGCGTTGCTCAAAGCGGACCGTCGCCGCAGCAGGTACGTGTACATATGAAACAGCCCAGTGCCGAACCCTGTCTTACGAGAACCAGGAACCAGATCTCTCCGGGCAGCAAGAACCGCAGATCCAATTGCCAAGTGCTGAGGCTCCTCCGGTGCCACATGCTGCCGGCACTCTTGCAGATGCCATGCCGCAGGCCATCCTTGGAACAGGTAAGTGGTGGTTTTGACAGCCGTTACTTCCGGATAGTGTGGAAGTTTGACAGTTGGTGACATGCTGCTAACTCTGAACAGTGCAAGACGAGAATATGAAGAACATTATGATGTCTTGGTACTATGCCGGTTACTACACCGGTCTGCATGCTGGCCAGCAGCAGGCTCGCAAAGAGCCCCCAGCGACTCAGTAGCGGATCCAGAGAATGACGCATTTTGGAGGCAGTGCGCATCACACTGTGGCTGCCGAGCAAGTTTAGAAGACGAAGCAGACATATTGAGGCTTGAAAGTCGTTGTTTTGAACCAATGGGGTGAGGATTGCCATGGTCTAGTCCCTGCACACGACTGACGACCTACACAGTTCGTGCCTCAACTTCTCGGGAACACAGGCTGCGAGATGAAAGCTCTGCAGTTCCATGCGGCTCACGAGTTCCCAGCCCCATAGTCCAGGCATCCTGATTAGTTCTGTCCCTGCGTCTATAGCCTTGGTGGTTCTTAGATTACCGCATTGGGCTTGTCTGGCGAGAAGCGAGACGGATCTGCGACACCACCGCGACAGTCTCGAACCCACCTCCAACGGTTCGAGTCCCAAACACCCCCCGCCGTT